GTTTGGGTTTGCAACACTAGCAGGGGCCGAAGGTCCCTGCTTAACACTACTGAGTGAGATGAGCTGTGTTTTGAATGGAGTTTGACTCGGGAGAAGAGCACAACAATTTACTTGGTGGCTATCCGGGCCAGAGTATTTTGTTTTTATTGCGAAAGCAACTTATGCTTCTTCTTAAAGGATTCGTTGGTGGTAACCTCAAATTGATTGAGGTACCTTATTGATTGAGTTTGGTTGATTTCTTACTGTTCCCGCCACCGGAATCATCGGAATCATCGGAATTTTGATTGTTGGAATTCGACTTTGTAAAAAATGAATCAATACATTTCTGTTTCAAAGTTCGTTTCTTCTCTTCATTCGATGATTTCTTCTTCTTCTTCCTATTTGATGGAATTGAGGAAGGAGTTTCATTCGATGAAGCTTGTGGTCGTTCCACTCGCTTTCTTGGTGGTGTTAGTTCGGTACCAAGCCTTGTAATTCGTCCAAGTATATCATCAGGTGGTTGTGAACTTCCTGGATTGTTACTTGGTTGATGGTTTGGTTTGGTTTGGGTTAGTAAGCGTAGTATTAGTGGGGTTGGAGGGTTCGCTGGGGTGTTGGGGGGTTTAAGATCCTCCAAAAGATCCTTTCCTCCAACCCTTCGTTGTGTAATCTTGTTGAGGTGAGTTCCTCTTTTCAAAGCTAAAAATTTGTTAGCAATGAACTTATAAAATTGTGTATCAATCTGTTGTTGAGTACAATCAGGATTGAGATATTTGAAGAATTCAATCTTCTTTTGAAATGCTCTGAGCAATTCAATAATTGTAGGCATTCTGATATTACAAATGATCACTTTTGAAGGATCATTCACAAATGTAATACCCTCACATACATGATTGAGAATTTTCCTATAAGGAATATGATTGTCAGTTCCCTTAAAGACCACTCTCCAAACTGGTGGAGGTTTCTGTTCATGAAGAAACAATTGTGATCTTGCTCTCTCAATTTTCACTTCAATGGAAGTTGAATTTAGAGGATATTTCCTCTTGAGAGTAAAAAAATTGAGATGTTTCATACACTTATTAATAAATTTGTAGGAGTATCCTCTGTGTGAAGTCTCTCCTTGAAACGATCTCTAATTCCAACCCATAGTTCAAATGTTGAACATCTCTTTGCATATCTAATCAATTCTCCATGAATGAGTCCCTTTACAACACCAGGAGCTGCACAAGAATCTTTTCTTGTATATTGATACAAGTTGAGTTCCTTTTGATGTGTTGTTGTTTCAATTCGAAATGGTTCGGATTCATCATTTTGAGGATTGAAAAAGAATTTGATATCAAGGAATGAATCTGTGGATGCGTCATTGAGAATTAGAGATTTTGGATAATATCTCTTGAGATTTCTGATATATTTTTGAAGTTGACCACGTCTTCCTTCATTTACACGATGGAAGTGAATTGTGAAAATGTCATCAATATATCTCTCAAGATGTAATTTGTTATTTCTCAATTTTCCAAGAGCGTCTTGGTCATGACTAGTCCATTCCAATTCATAATAACAAAGAGTGAGATTTGCAATGTTTGGAGCTGCATTGGTTCCCATTGGAATACCTTTCTTTTGATGATAGAACTTGTCAAGTTCTGGTACTTTAAAGTATGTAGTTCCCAGAACGATTTGGAGCATGTGCAATGTTGCCTTATTATGTTGAGGATTGAACATGGAATTATCAATACTCCGTCCATATTCAAGCATGTTAATCATTGCATTAATGATATCGGAGTGTTCGAGTTCTGTATAAAGAGAGGTGAAATCCATTGATTTCATATTTGCATAATTCCTGTGAGGAAGTCCTGCTCTTTCATAACATTGCATGATTCTGAATTGAGATTCATCTGCACTTTCTGAGATGAAAATTCGTTTGTAGAATCTTGATTGAGGGTTGTCTGATTCTCTTCTTAATAATCTAATTAATAGAATTAATCTTGCATTAAGAAGTTTTGAAATGATTGTATTATGACAATCAACAGAACTGACGATTGGTCTACCAACAATTGGATTCTTATGAACCTTTGGAATCATATAGAATCTTGGAAGTGGTTTTGATAACAAGTTTTCCTTCTTGTGATGTGTCTCCACTAAATTGAACACAATCTCTGAATTTGTTTTGATATGAGGAATGTGCTTTGCCAAATTTTCCTTAATTTGTTATTTTGCATCATTCTCTGTGGAAATTTCAGAGTAGTGAGTTGAAGTGCTCAATTGACGATTGAGTTCTTGGATATAAGAGGATTTACTCCAGAGAGTTGTACCAAGATTCTTGTCAGATGGAGTCACAATAATGTTAGGATTACTTCCGAGAGTTTTGATACTATTCAATTCTTCCTTTGAGAGATTTGAAATTCTTGGTTTGAATTTCTTGTAATAATCGGAGAGAATCTTTGGAATAGTCATTGTTGGATTTGTTCTGTTCCAGGGAATGTTTGTTGCTCTCATTTGTTTATAGACACGTTCAAATGATTCAGTGTCAAATTTGAGAGCTTGAGAAGAGTTTGAAAAGGTACATGGAATTTTGTACCTTTATTAAGGAGTGAAATGTCATTTTGAGTAATTTCAAAATTATCCATTCCAATGAGATGAACGGTTTTCATCTTCTCCTTAATAGAATTATTGTATGTGAGGGGAACTTGTCAATTACGAGGAGATGAGAGATTCCTCTTCCTTTGAGGAGTATTTCTTCTCGAGTTGGATGATGAATTCTGAGAGTTATTCTGAGAGTAATTCTGAGAATTGTTCTGTGAATTCTTCTTGAATTTTGAAGAGTTTCTCTTGTGTTGTTGATGAGATGATGAATTGGTTCTCTTTGAAGAATTTGATTGAACATTTCTGTTGAAGGAGACAGATTTCCTTGGAGATTTGTTCAATTGTTGAGAGGTTTTCTTCAAATTTGAATTGACTCGGGTTTTTCTTGGTTTGAACTGTCTGTTCATAACCTTTGATGGTTTCTTCTTCTTGTTGTTGTTGTTGTTTGAAGAAGAAGGGTTTGGTAGGTGACCAGCTTGACTTTTAATCTTAATTTTTCGACATGCTTAATGATGGGATTTTTAATTTTTTTTTAAAGATCGTGTATGGAGCTATATCTATGTGTTGACATTACTTTCATCCATTAATTAAGGGTAGTTATTGAACTGTATTCGCTTAAAGTAGACCTCTTTTGCATGGTCGGGTTTTTCGTCATCTTTGATGTTGAGCTTGATCCAAGCACATCATTCGATAGATTTTGAAGAGTAGTACATTCGTGCTAGCGACATCATTGGATAGTGAGCTAAGTTGGTTGCGTTGTTCAACAAATGGTGACAGGTGTCAAAATGTCGATAGAGTTTAAGCGACACCTTTTTTGTAGATCTCACGAAAATAATGGGGGTCATGATAGAGCATTCGATCAGGTTTAGGGTAGTTTTCGAGAAAATCAAGTTTGAAGGAATTTCAACGAGGTCAAAAATGACATGAAAATTTTTCAAAAAAAAATTAAAAAAAAATGAAGCCAAAACTCCCTGCATTTTTGAGGTGATCATCATCAACATCGGGTCATGTTTTCATTCATCATCATGTCATATTTATATTGATCACATCGAATGTGCACATCATGATCAACATTCATCAGGAATATTTTGTGTGTATGAATACACATGGAAATGATAATCATCAAATAGTAGCGGTTAGAATTGTAGTGAACTGCTCCGTTGGATATGATGATCATGGAATGAATCTGATGATCGGAATGTTGTTACAGTGATCAGAAACCATGGAATTGATTGTTGGTTCAGTTCAAAGTGATGGTCATTTCATGACTTTGTGTAATGTGAAGTGTGATGGTGGCTCTATGGTAGTGTTGAAAAGTACGATCGAGACAAGCACTTTATAGAACTACATGAAATTGATATGGATGGATGTCCTGATCATCCAAACAACAAATCATCAGTTTTATTCATTGACATGATTGTTTCATGGAATGGGAGCACTTCGCTTTTCTCGGGGGTATGGGAAAGAAATACGAAGGAAATTGCAAAAACACCAGAAAATTTTAGACAATTCATAACTTTCCCATGCTTTCCGAATGCTTCAGCCTCTTTCTCGGTATTTCCAATCAGTTTTGCAAAATTCCGAAAATTTGAACGGAAATTCATAAAACGTGAAGAAGCAAACGGAATCCTCAGTCAAAAACAGATAAAAAAACAGCAGCACACCATGGAGAAAAATTGTCCTATTTGCAACACCAACATTGATGCATTTGCGTTCAATCGTCACATTCCCAAATGCTATCATCAGTCATGTGTTGCCAATGAAGAGATTCCACTGTGCACATGTTTGACATGAAAAGGAACAAAGACACATGATGGTGATTTTCTCCACAAAATACAAAATTCAACCACTCCCCATAAAAGAAGGTCTGTAACGGCTCCAGCGACATTGGGATCAATGTCTCAAACACAATCCTTAGGGACTTTCAGCGAAGATGTCTCTCCAAAGCTTCATCCTGATAAACTTAGCGGTAAAGAATGTATTTGTTGCACCATCCGTACGGCTGCCAAAGGATTCCCCAAAATTTACGTCGGAAAATATCGAACACTAATACTATGCAAGAAATCTCATGCTCTGGACAACACTGAGAATAAAAGATTGGCTGAAATGATTGACAAAATCAATGATGAGGTCATTTCAACCAATGATTCAAAGCAGTCAATTCTTGATGGAGAATCTGATGAAGAGAATGCTATTGAAGACGTTATGTGTAGTGGTTGTAAAAATGTTGACTCTTCTTCAATGTGTGGCGCTGTTTGTAAGGGAACCCTTTACATTAAGGAAAAAAAAGGTCAAACCGAGTCTAATATTTTTTTCTGTAAAGGTTCTCACTTAATCAAATACTTGGTTCGCCATTATTGCTCCCATAAATCAGGTAAAAAGAAAAAAACTAACCCCAATTCATCCGTAACTAACAGATCATCCAAAAAACGAACCAAAGATCAAATTATTGATGAAAGTGAAACGGATGATGAATGTGAGCATGATGTAATTGAAACTCATACCACTCCAAGTAAGTTGATCAAAAAATAAATTTTTCTAATATTTCAAATTCTCCTCATGTTTTCGAAGGTAATTTCACTCAGTATGTCATTGATTGCAATGTAATTCATAAAATTACTGGAATATGTGAAAAAGGTTTTCATGAATTAATCCAATTGAGAAAGCAAACACGACTCAATGCGTTAGGAAGACCAATAGAAATTCCAGTGGAAGATGAAATTATGATAACACTTACACATTTGCGGCAATATTGTACGGACCAATTTTTAAGTTGCATTTTTCAAATTGAAAAACGAGCAATAACCGCTATAAGAATTAGAGTTCTTGATTGGTTGTATATCGAGCTAAAACGTTATATATGTATGCAAACCTTGCAATTCAGAATGGATAATAGTGAAGAATATTTTAAGCATTTGATTACCATAATAATAGACGGATCAGAACAGCCTGCATTTTGTTGTGATTCCGCAATTTTGGATTTTGAATTCTATTCTGCAAAAAAAAACCAACACAGCATCACAATCCTGATGGCAATGACTCCTTCTGGCCATATTGGATATCTTTCGCCTTGTTTTCCAGGAAGAGTTAATGATAATGAATTGTTCAACAAAACCTCTTCTCATTGGTTGAGTGAAATGGATGCATCAGAATTCATTTTTGGCGACAGTGGTTTTAAAGGGCTTCCTCGTGTAATTACTCCTCCAGACGACCCATCCTTGCGCAAAATTTTCTCTAGTGTTCGTATTAGAGTAGAAAATAAGTTCAGGGAAATCAAGATATTCAAATCTTGCAAAGAACGAATTAGAATCAAAACCCAAAGCAAAACTGAAGTATTACGCATTGCTCATATGCGATGGGTAGTTGTTGGTGCTTTTTGCAACTTAAATTGGACGAGATATAGTAATAAAGACTTTGAAATGTCTTGCCCATAAAATCCGATGGAATTTAAAAGAATTTAACAGAATCCGAACAAATTTGAAAGAATTTGAAAGAATTTCACAAATACAACAAGACGAAGCATTTTTTTTGATGATTCTTTGAAATTTGATGGAAGAGCAAAGAAAGCTTTGGAAAAGAACAGACAAAATTTGCCAAAAATTTCTCATTTCGCCTTCGTATTTCTCGCCCTCGTCTCGGAAATGATCATTTCTTGAGGAAGGGTACAACTCTCCTCTCTGGTTCATGTCATTCATTCTATCATCATGACACGTTATGATCACCATTGTAGAAGTGTTTTATGTGATTGTGAGTGGTTGAATGTGATCATGATGAATTGTTGTTGGTATGTATTGTTGTATGATTGAATGATCATTTTATAACAATTGATTGATTAAGTTTTTCGATAAACCGATGATTGTAATGTTGTATAATACATTGTGAAGAACATTTCTATGACTATTGATGATGGATATGATCATTATTGGTGGAGTATCATGATGAATGTTGTAGAGGTGTGATACCATATCCTTCCAAGAGCGATTGTGTCATGAACAATACACATCAACATGTTCATCATGATGAGTATGACACATCCATGTTGGTTGTACTCACTGAATCATCAATTTATGGAAGTGGTGTCTCACTCTTTCAATTCATTTTTCTTTTTCACGTGATATTACGATACTGAATAATTTTAAGAATATCACAGTGACTTTATATGATAGTATATAGTGTGATATTGTTATTTTGAAATTTGTGGAATTTATCTATATGAATTGATTTTGTTATGAGGCACATGAGCTGTGTTGAAAATGATTATTAATTAATTTTTGAAGAGTTGTCAGGAGAGT